ACACATTTTTATTTTTCTTCTCTGCAGGGTGAAAGCTGGCTCTCGTGGGTATTTGAGAAGGTGGTGCTGGTCATGGTGTGCTATTTTATTCTGTCCATTATTAACTCCATGGCACAGAGCTATGCCAAGCGTCTCCAGCAGAAGAAGTACTCGGAGGAGAAAACAAAATGACGGACTCACAGAAAAACATCTCACACTCCTGTTTTGGAACCTACGAAATATCGAAGCTAAAACTACATGAGCACTGATTTATGTGCGCTTCTGTATGTTAACGTTCATTCAGATCCCTTTAGTTACGTGGAGTCCCTCTTCATTTGTCTGCAGTGTGCTCGGCTATTTAAAATCAGATTTAACATTTAGAGATTTGTCTTTATGGAACCAAGGCAGTCTAGCTAACAGGCTGTGTGGAGTCATATTTGTTGCAATGCCTTATGCAACATTTGGAGGTCATGCTTCCATTGAAGTGAATACAGTTCTTAATCAATAGATTTATTTAATTTCTAACATACAGGTATGGATGGGCAGGGTCTGTTTTGTGATTGGAATTTTCAGGGATAGTTTTTTTTAATCAAAATTGATGTCATTTTGTATTTCTTTAACTGTTTGAAGAGGATAGCAATATCAACTCAGATCATCATGGTTTTTAAATAGTTTGCACATCTTGTAAAATAATGTTTTGACTATGCGCACATGATGTTTATTCTCCGGTCTTAAACCAAAATGTCACAAACTAGTGGATGTAACTTTTAACCCAAGAAAATTAAGACGTAATATTTGCATATGTTTGTGCATTTTGACCTTTGACATTTGAACTAAAACCATAAGTTGATCCATACTTTCCGCTTATTTCGGGCTGAAGTATTTGTGTAGCTAATAATGATTTCTCTCAAAACTATTGTTGCATAATTTGTTTGACATTAAATTCATTAATACATCTGCTGTGTTACATTTGCATTTTACGTACAAAAAAAAAAATACAATGAAAAATCAGATCTCTGGGTTCAGACCAATGAATGACAGAAGTTGGAGGATGTGGCCTAAAAGAAGGTATGTGGAAGATGTCTGTCTGTGTCGTTCTGTCTCATAAACTTTCAGAAGTGTCCTGTTTCAGTGTGTTGTGCTCATTCAGTCGTAAGTGTCCCCTTCTGTCAGGTAGCTTATCAGACTGGTGTTGGCTGTAAGTCATATGGCAAGATCAGTCTAATAGGCTGCCTGAAATTTTGGGCTTTGTCACCATATGCATATTTTGAGGCTGAATTTTGTGCTAGAAATGTTCAGCTGAAATATTTACTAACTAATGAATGTGTTCTCAGTGTACAATGGATCTGAGTATTCAAAGGATTTTTTTCCCAGTTTACTGAAGTAAGCAGATCATATGTGCACGTATTTAACTGAAACATCTTGCTTTTGTTTTTAAACTAACTGTTGATTTGTTGTCTAGGTCTATTAGTCTGTAATAGTCTTATTCTGGTTGCCATTTTCTCATTAAATTCAGTTGTTTATTTAGGAGAATAAATGTGTTATCTATTAAGATCGGTTTCTTTTATACCGAATAAATGTGTTTTCAGTTTGTTTTAGCTATAAAATGCTGCAGTTTTCCCACAATAAACTGGTTTCCTCCTTACATGTGTTTTGCCACTTATTAAAAAACACGTTATAGTAGGCCTATCAATGGTTTAAAAAAATCAAACATTTAGGCATGCTTATGGTGCGTTCAAGTCATGTCGGATAGATCGTATTTACGAGTTGAACGCACATGAACGCCACCACAAAGTCGTTATTATATCCATAAAGAGTGGGAAACGCGACATTTTCTTGAAGTTTCTCTAAAGTTTCCGAGTTGGGGGCGTGTCAATGAGAAACATGGCGGAATCGAAGGATGCAACGTTTGTAGTTGACGGTCAATTTTTGTTTAAATTGATAGTTTAGTTGTCCTATAACGATTGCCAGAGTAAAACATAAATCACAATACTTATAGGTATTAAGCAGTGACATTGTCAGGGTTTTTATTTACAAAAAATAAGCTGTTTGAATGTGGCAGGATTGTAATATAACAAGTTTTTATGCGATACAGATTAAAGTGGCTTCATAAATTACTTTTTAAAAATATTAAAAACGCAAAACACTGCAAAACACC